TGCAACTGTTTTTGGTCACTGTTGCAAGTGTTGCAAAATATTTGGTGACTAAATTAATTTGCAGTAAAAGTCACCAATTTGACAACCTGTGTTTATGGGTTCATGGGATATCAGTTAGCTGATTTGAAATGCACACTGGAAAATTGTTGGCTGACAACCAGGTTATTAACCCTCTGCTCTATAACATTAGCATGCATATTCTCCACACTGTTCTCTTTACATTTCCTTAGGAACTGTTAAGGAGAATATTCTTAACAATCAGGCCTTGGTTGCTTGAAAGTCATAGAACACTATTCACTGGGTAAATCTCTATCCAGTAGATAATGCTATATGTTTTGCTATCATTTATCTGCTGGATAGAAATTTATCCATTGGATAGCGTTATCTGCCCTTCACACAACTGGATCAGGAGCTTTTTTAGTTGGTGATCATTCCCTCTCTTCTCCTGACCTCAATGTTTGTTTCATGGGTGATAATGTAAGAAGAAATTGGATGCTAGTCACTCTCATAGGTGAAAGGGATAATCATATTGATTTTTCTTTTGATTTCATGGTGTAGGTTCTCACCATGGATATCTCAGGGTTTCCAATGCCTGATGTCAATGCCATAGGTAAGAACATTGTTTTAAACTTAATATTTATTGCAGACTTAAAGTCATATTTCTTAGCTGGCAAAGGGTTGATGAGGGAAAGAGTCAAGTCAATGGTTTGTCATTGCTCTGAAGAAATCAATTGTAATACTAAGTAGGCTATCTCCTAATTATATCAATCAATTTTCAAGACAAATGGTAATAAGAAGAAAGAAAATGTCAACTGTAGGATATTGATTGATTTAGCATTAAATTCTCAGTGCAAGAATTTTAAGAAATGTGAAGACAGGCAAAAAAGGGAAAGTCTGTACTTAATCCTGGTGACCCTCCCAGCCTGAGGTTCTCCCTATTTCCTTAGCATGAAGTGACTGGGAGTATTACTAATTCTCCCTAGATGGAATGCTGGTTCATTGCAAGGTTATCCCCTAGCATTTCATCAGGCTTCCCTAAAAAAATTTTTCTGGTACTCATTTATACTCCTGGGTGGAGAGAGACACTGTTAGGGGTAAGTGTCATGCCTGAGAACACAATGCATTGACCTAACCAGGTGTGGAACCCAGCCCTTTCAACCTGGAGTCCAGTACACTGACCATTAGGACACTGGAAGACATAGAGGAGAATTGATTTCTTAAGATCTTGAAAGTGAAAGGGTTAAGGTGAAGAATTATCCAGACTACTATACCCAACAAACACCCTCCTTTTGAAGGCAAGTGGGAGGGGGAAAGAGCTAGGTAAACCCTCTAGCCAACATTATAAGTCACTTTATGAGTTTAAGATTTTACTATTACTATTATTTATTATTATTATTATTATTATTAAATTTTACTTTTTAATTACTATTTCCTCTTGCTGATTTCTACAGTTGAGAGTCAGGAAATCTCTGACCTTGGCAGACTATTACAGTTGGTTCTTGGCTGTGCTGTTAACTGTGAAGACAAGCAAGGTTAATCAAATCTTCTGTCATATATTATATCATGTTCTGCTCTATCCTTGATAATAGGAAGCCAAGAAATTGCTGGTTACTCAGTTGGATTTCACTGGCTTATTCAGTTGTCAAGCCAAGATGTAGTAGGAAAGGCAAAAAAAAAAATTATTATTGTCTAAAATTGATTCCACACATTACCCACTTAGAATCTGAAAGACAACCCTAATTTCCTTGTTGGTTACTGTTTAAATCAAATGGTACTGTACTTAACTGTAGCTTAACATTTTAATGGAGTTTACACCGTGGCTGATTTCTGTATAATTATAACAATTGTTATTTGTGATTTCTGGGGTTTGATTATTTTTTTATAGTTTAAAAAATTTTTTCTTTCCACAGAATATATTCAAGTTATTATGTCTATGGAAGAGTCTGTACAGCATGTGGTCATGATGGCAATACAAGAGGTAGGTGTGAATTTGATTTATGAAAGACAGAGTACAGTTGGGTTTCATTTATAGTTTACAATGTTTTTTTTTTCTCTCAGCTGATGACAGGAAAAGAAAGTGGTTTGCCTGGGACAGACAGTGAAATGTTTAAAGAACTAGAGATACAGGTCAGATACATACACATTATGCTTGGTGTTGTGATTTTTAGAACTTACTGAAAACAGTGTCACCTTGTATATACTTATCTAGTTTTTGAAAATATCATTATCATGCTGGCTTTTTGAAAGTCTCAAACATTTACATTATGGAAAGCAATGGAAAAAAAGAATCATTTGAACTTGTACATTTACTATATATAACATTAATTTTATTTGTACTCTGTACTGATTATCATTTTATTGATTAAAATAGAAAAGATGTAGGCATTGGATAGACATACATGTAGAGAAATTACTAATGTCTTTATAGCTGTAAATAAGCTGCAATACAATTTTATGATAATGCAGTGGATAATGGTAGTCTAGAAAGCTAGGCATGCATCCAAATTAAACTAGATGTATTGTAGATTTCCTAGACATCATCCTTCACATGTGAAAATTGCCTTTGAAAAGGGGTGTCATACCACTTTGTTTAACTTAAAGAAACCTTTTCCTCTCTCCCTGCCATTCCTTTAACTGTTCTGCCTTTTTTTTACATGACCAGCATAAGAGAACACTTGAACAGCTTAGTAGTATGGCAGCTGAAAAAGAGGAACTATCACAGAGATGTCATGAACTGGATGAACAGGTAATGAACCAAAATAAAAACAGGCCAATAGTAATTTTTTCTAGGCAAATATTGATGTAGTCTAAGATCTGTGTAACAAAACTGGCTTGATTAAATCAATTGAAGGCTTAATAGTAACCTTTTTGTTCAATGAGGGGAAAATAAGCAAACTCTGCTCATTTAGCTTGTCCTATTTTGCAGTACTTTTGTATCAATAACTTCTCATGTAAGAAGGATGAGATTTTCAGTCAAAAGAAATGAGGTCATTTCATAATATTTCTAACAGGAAGTTTGCAAGTGAACCTACTTTGTGAACAGTAGCCAGTTTTTTGGTTTGCATTCAGATTCACATTTTGGTTTATTGTCATGTATTGCAATGTCAGTGGATCATAGGGTTAAATGCAACAATCAAATGTTTGATCTGTGTTGCCTCTCTCTCTCATTTTAGACTTTTTTGTGAGAACTTCTTTCCAAATAAACCTTTTTTCCTGTTGTTCTACTTAGTTGTCCTTCATCAAAGAGCATGAGGGTAGCTTACAGATGGAAAATGAGCGACTTAGAGAGAAGCTGAGTCGGCAAGACACAAGTGGCGACAGAGATGATGACATCAGGTAATTTAAATGAATGAAAAATAAGGAAAGTTTTGTCGGAAAAGATACTTTTATTACATGTAGCAAAGTAACTCATCTTCATTCTGACTTTTCGAATAGAGATGTAACCTCTTACTCTTAAAGAAATGTTGATCTTTGTCTTTATAATGAATGCATATATACATGTAGGTATATATTGATAGGGAATGAATAAGTTTATACTGTATTTTGTTCTGACTTAGTCTCAAATTCTCAAAAGTACCATTAATACTGGAAATAATGTTAGCTAGGAAGGATAAATGAAAGTTAGATTGTGGATATTGAAGGGTTAACATAAGGTGCTCAGTAGAATTTCACTTAGAGAAAACTTGAAGACTTTTTTAGTTGTAGAGATCTTTTCTAATTTTACTTTACTAAGCAAGAACTGCTGGTTGGGCACATGGGGAAGGTGACAATTATAACATTTAAGAAGACACATTTCTGGGAGGGGTAGCTGCACCTGTATAGAAGTTTGAGAGGGTGGGGCTTGTCTAAAGGAGAACTGGCTGTTTTTTATATGGCTACAAAAATTATAGCTGAAGGTCTTTGTATGTTTAGCTGTTCAGTGCATTAATGGAATTATATAGCCATTGTTTTCATGAAGGAAAATTGAGGAAAATATGAAGCTTCATTCTTAAATTTTCTAACTAAAATGTTTCGCTTACATGTCTAAGTTGGCTGCTTTAATAAATTGATTAATATTTGATTATGTCACCTGTTGATACATCCCATTCAATGTGTTTTTTTATTATTGAAGTCTGGATAATGTGTTAAACTTGAGTTTTCATTATTATTTAGAATGTTCAGTTTGAGGCAAAGGTTGTTAAACTGATCTGTATTTCCTCTGTGTATTTAGTCTTCTCTTTTTGGTTCATATTCCATCAATTGTTATTTATGCACAAGGATGAAATTAAATCATTTGCTTTCTAGTTTTTCTACTCAAAGAATGCATCAGCTTCAGCAACAAGTGGAACAACTCAAGGAAGAGAATTTCACCATGGAAACTTGTGAGTTAAAGAAAATGATTCGAAAATTTACAGAAATGAATGGCAAGATTATGAAGAAGTCTTTGAGCTTGCCTTTTAAAGCCCAGCTTCAATTTCTGTGTATACTAAAGATAATGCAGTGGAAAAGGTTTTTTCTGCATAATGAAATATGAAATTCAAAAGGAATTCAAAGCAGTGCTCATTACAAAAATATACAGTCATAAAGATTCAGTAAATAATTCCCTCATCTGTTTTTCTATTCACTCAAATTTTATCAAATTTACTTGTAATATGCTTAACATGATAATTACAATAATTTTTTTTTTCAGCACGTGATGAATTCAAAATAAAATATGAACAGTTGGAACGGGATGTTCTGATGTTGAATGAAAGGGTATGGTGCATTTGTACTTAGTTTGCTAGATTGTTAATTCTCCCCTCTAGCTGCTACAAATTTCCCTCTAGCTACAACACATTTCCTTGTACATTATTTTCAAGAATTTGGAGTGAGATCAAGATTGCAACCTCTACCTGACAAGTTTGAGTATTCTCATTACCTGATTTTTGGATAATGTAAGGATATTATAGGAGGAAGTTACATTTTAATCACTCCTGGGAGTTTAAGGGTTAAGTGTTCAAGAGAGTTCACTTCTCTTCCTCTCCGAGTGTATGTACATGTATGGTGATTATAATGTTAGAAGAAAATTTTGTGGATTTTGTATAGGGACAAAATTATTTTGCTTTGGATATCCTTACAGTCCATTAACCCTTTATCTCCCAGAAGTGATTCACATAAAACTTCTCCCTACAATATCCATACATTCTTCAGCAAACTGGTACCGGTAATGAGAATATTCAAACTTATCAGGTAGAAGCTGTTATCTTGATCTAGCACCAAGTTCTCATAACTAATTTACAAGCAAATGTGTAGTAGCTACAGGAGAGAATTAACAATCGGCTCTTGGGAGTTAAAGGGTTAAAGCAGTAGATAGAATTCAAGTCGTGTTTATTGCATCTTAATTTTCCTAGCAGATCATTGTACTAGAATTTACACAATTTACAAAAAAAAAACAGAGGTCTGACATGTATATGCACAGTGCAATGCAACAGATGAGCATCTCTAAGTTCAACCTATGTCTTTACCACTAGCAAGTCTTAGACTCCAAGCTTGTTTGGTAATGTTTTTTCTGTGTATTACAACACAAGTTGTGCTTTTAAGGTTAACTAATGCGTAATGACACTGTAACTTGTAAATTTATTTTGTGCTTGTAAACAGTTGTGTAAGACAGTCGTTACTTGTGTTTATAAGTTTAAATTCTCTTCACAGAATGAGCAATTGCAGAGCTTAGCTGAAGAATCTCAGATGCTGAAAGATGAAATGGATGTCTTACGGCATTCCCAGGAGAAAGTGGTTTGTAAATTTTTATAACACTATGATTAATTTGTCATATTAATTAATTTTTTTATGTCTTAAAATTTTCTCTGGTAAACTGTGTTGTTCTTTTTTTTTTGTGGCAGATTAAGTATGAGTCAACAATAGAACTTTACAAGAAGAAACTAGGTAAGTGCAATTCTTTTACAAGGTATGCTGAGTATTAAAACTCTTTTTGTTGAAGGGGAGACTCTTGTGTCAGGACTGATCACAGAACTGCAGAATTAACAAATAATTTAGCAATTTTAAATATTTCTTTTGGCTTTGTAAAAATTGCTAACTAATTTAACAGTTTATCACAAAAGAGCATACTATCGTTGCACTTTCTAATATGATTTTTACAATAATTTGCTTTTATCATATAGATTGATTTTGTTCTAAATGATATGTTTGTCATTGCAGAGGAGTTGTCAGACATGAGGAAACAGATGAAGGCTTTAGAGGAGAAAAATGTAACATATATGAAAGAAACCATGAACTTACAAGAGGTGAACACATTTATATAACATTACTATTAATTATGGGTAAATTGAGTAAGTTTTTAAAGAAAAGGTGCTGCTGCTGAATCACTGGAGAATATTTTAAAAGATAAATTGGTTTTATCAACTGAGTTGATGACATTGGCCACTGTAAAGAGTTTCTAAAGTTGATGTTTCAAGTGTAAGCCATTCACTGTTTGTTCTATTACATTAAATTTTGTAGTCTAGTGTATTGTACTCTTATCTTCATTTAGCAGCATTTAAGATATGCTTAAACATTTTGATACAGAGTTTACACCATTGCAGTGTGGGTCTTTTGAGATTCTGATTTTACCAAAGATATGTTATTAAGTTTACATCATTTGTGACAGTGGTCAATTATAGCTTTTTAAATGTAGTTAAGAGAGTCTGTTAATTACAATTTGTGTTGCAGGATCTTAGAAAAGCCAATGCATTAAAATCTCAAGTTGACACATACAAGAAACAGGTTCGTAAGCAGTCTGGTATCTGTAATACTTCTCAATTAAACTTGTTTTCCATTTCAGAAGGAAAATAAATCCCAGAACAGTATTGTATGTTGTTGTGGAGTACCTTTAACTCAATTATTTACTCTCTCTTTCTGTTTCTTTTTCCTTTCAACTTTCTCTCTTGTGTAGATTTTCTGTAAATTTAAAGCTGTAAAAATAGAATTTATTTTTTTTCCGTTTCTATTTTAGGTACATCAGTTGCAAGTGCAGGTGTCGGAGTTGCAAAGGAGAGCAGACAAGGTGTGTGGAAGAAATAAACAAGAGTACTTTACTGTAACACTCAGTCATTTTTTCAAGGAGTGTTGCTCTAATTGTGAAGTTTGTTTAATAGTTGATTTATCTGAATGCTCTTTGATATACAGGCAGAGTTTGAGGCAAAAAAGGCAAAAGAGAAGGTTACAAACCTTGATGGAGAAAATGAAGTAGGTGTAAGCTTTTTTAAAGAAAAATGATAAATTTAATGTACAGTCAGTAACAGTTTAACTCCCCTGAATAACCAAGACAGAATTTCTCCTTAAAATATTGATACAATGTCAAGTGGGCAAGTGATGAGAGTAATAGAAAATAGGGGATTATTTGTTGATCCAATACCAAATTATTCAAACTGCATACAGTGTATGTAACATCATAAGAATTTTGTGGTAGATAGTAAGGAAAGTTACAAATGAGATCTTGGGAGCAGAAGGATTAAATGAACATTATTTCTTGCTGATAGTCACAATTATCAAGCTTGCATTACAGTGTTTCTGATTCATTTAAGGGGTGTATCTTAGAGATGATGATTTTACTTCCATTTCACAGCGTTTAAGACAGGAGAGAATGAAATTAAAAGAAGAAAACGAGGAGCTTCAACTTGCTCAAGTAGCAGGTACATTGTCATTATACTTTTTTATAATAAACTGAGTGGGTTGCTGATCTTCTTACCACATTTGATGTCTTCTGTGATCTACATGTGTTTAACCCTTAAACTCCCATGAGTGACCAAGACAGAATTTCTCCTTACAATATCAATACAATATCAAGCAGGCAAGTGATGGGAAGAAAAATATTAATAAGGGGACAATAAATCGATCCAATACCAAATTCTCCAAACTTTTACTATCTTTCCTTTTTTTAGGTTCTCCAATGCGTCATGTATCTGCTGGGACCCCTTCAAGTGATGATTTTGATCTGGATGGATCCATGTCCCCAGAAGTGAAGTATGTAATAAGTCATGAGAGCTTTCATCAAGCTTTGTTTAACTGTTTCTACTAAGAGGAATCTGGACACTTTTTATTTGTTATTGGTTTTATCACAAGCATGAGACAAAGAAAATATCCTAGTTCCTATTGAGGAATCAAACCCTAGACCTTTAAAATTTGGGCTTCTTAGCTCTACCACTGAGCTGAAAGAACCTGGTGATAAAGACAACACAGCAGTCAAAAGTAATGCATGCACTAGGAGGTCAATTCTGGCAGGCTGGGCATCACCTTCTTGTGCAAAATTTTTGAAGAAAAACGTAAGAAACAACTGCTGTCTTGCAAAGTAAGTGATAAAAAATTGAAATGAAAATTTGTGAAAGGAAACAAATGTAAGAAAAAGGAAAACTTCAGATCTTTCAAATGCAAAGCTTATTTAATTACAGGGATCCTGTTGATTTTCCATTCTGTTTTAAGCTTTACCAGGAAAGTTATACACTTTTAAAACACAGTCACTTGCTTGTGTGGTCGTTTGCATCTTTTGTGAGACAAATTTTTTGAAAGCATCCTGTTTGCAAATATAGTATGAAATTTGGTAAATTTTCAATGTGCTTGTGGATTAAAGTAAGCCGTGGTAACTGTTATGATACCTTGGTCTATAACAGGGAACGTGTTCTTCGTCTGGAACATGAAAATAAGAAGCTTAAAGAGCAGATGCAGGGCGAGCAAGAAGAACAGGTATCGTTTGGTGGATAGTATATGTTTCTTTGTCGTTTTTGTAGCATTTGAGCTTTTGCTGAGTTGTATTATGCTTCTTACCATCAGAACCAGCTTCTTCAAAGTCTCCTCAATGATGCTAATGAAAGGAAAGATCAGCTAGAGAAGGAGAACAGGTGAGACAAGAAAATGATAAGAAATGGTGACAAACTTAAGATAATAACAGTTTAACCTTTCACTCCCACAAGTGACCAAGACAGAATTTCTCCTTACAATATCAATACAATATCAAGCAGGAAGGTGATGAGAATAGAGAAGAATATCAATCATGGGATTATTAGTTGATCCAATGCCAAATTCTCTGAACTAACATCATAAGAACTGTATGGCAGATAGTAAGGAGAATTACCAATTAGATCTTGGGAGTGAAAGGGTTAAAGGAAGGAGGGGGTTGGAGGTGTGGCAAGTTTGTAACGTTGACTCACCCTACAAGACATGTGCACCACAGGCTTGATGTGACACACATTTTGTCTCAAGCAATTCAAAAAAACTTCCCTCGCAGAGAATTGAATCAGAAGCTTATGGAGGTAGAAAGCGAACTCGATGACATGAAGAATCAGAAGAATGCAGGGGAGATGGAAAAAGATAGTGAACTTGGCAAGAAATACACAGATCATCTGTAAGTACACTTTACACTCGAACATTCAGATGCATATTCTCCATACTGTTCTCTTTACATTCCTTGAGAAGCTGACAGGGAGAATTTGTTTTGCAATAAAGAGTTTGTTAATTTCCTGTATTCTTGAGACCTCAATGTGTAATCCAGGGTGATATTTTCAGGATAAATTGGCTGTTGGTTACTTTCAGGGTCAAATGCAACAAGATGGAACATTTTTTACTGTCAAGAGTTGTAATAGCAAGGGATTACAGAGAGGAGTGAAAGGGGTTAGCCCTTTACATCCTAGCATTAGTTTGCATATTCTTCATTCTGTTCTTTATACATTTCTTATGGCACTGACAAGGAGAATTTGATTAACATCGAAGGCTTCTTTAGCTGGTGATTATTTCTTTTATTCTCATAACCTTTAATATTTGATTCAGGGATGTAAGGAGAAATAAGATGACAGCAAGTTGTAGAGATTTTTAAATTGTGTATTTTGTTTGTGAGATTCATCTCTGTTGATCTGGAGACGTGCTACATCTGTAGGTATTGAATTTGAAACCTTAACTTTACGTTTTGCATCTTGCAGTGACAAACTTAAAGTTGCAAATGACGAACTGCAGAAAAAGAAAGCATACATTGACAGTTTGGAACCAAAAGTGTCTAGTAGTGGTAAGAGGGTAAACTTTTATTCGTTAAAATTTAGTACTAGCTCATTCTTCGGTACCTTTTTTTGGTGTGTCAAGTTTGTTTTGTTTTTGGTGTCCGTGTTTGACTGTAAAAGTTTGTACTGGAATATCATTTATTTCTGTGAGATCATTGAAATGAAAGTTACAAACACTTTGATGGGATTCTCTTTGTTGTTCTGTTCAAGCTAGTGCTAACTTAAAGTCTGTGGATGAGACCCTAGTCAATTACAGTTTTTACAAAGCAAAACAGCACTTGCATGTATTGTCTGTTGTGTCTCAATTAAAAGGTTTCAAGGGTTTTTATCTCTACCCAGTCAGTTAATCTCAATGATAAGAAAAGGGGAAGGTGCTGAAAGAGGTGCACTTGTTAATGTTTACTTTTTGTGTAATGTTTCAGCGGAGAAAGTGAATGAATTGCAGGAACTTTTGAATAAGAAAGATCAAGAAATGAAAGTAATGGAGGATCGATACAAGAAATACTTGGAGAAAGCCAAGAGTGTAAGTTGTCTATGATTCATTGGTGCTTGAATAATCAGGGAAATGGAAGGGATATTTTGCTGCAAAGTATACAATACCACACACACAAAGTATACAACACTATAATTATAAATTCACGAAACTATGTTTTTTGAATGTATAATTGTAATTTAACTGAGTGGAGAGCAGTTTGAACTGAAATTATACGAGTGATTGCAGTTTGTTGTACTCTTTGATTTCTCGTTGGCCCCTCCCTTTTTTTGGTTAGCTTCTGAGGTCACTTTGGTTTCAGTTTGAAGAATCTCCAATGAAAACCTCTCAATTTCATTCCAGTAGGTTCAATAGTTCACAGATCGACGAGCGTTAGTAATGCCGTGTTTTCAATTGGATCATTTTTTTCTCTTTTCAGGTGATAAAAACTCTCGATCCAAAGCACAGTTCAGGCGCTCAACCTGAGGTAATTGTTTCATTTCCCGTTTTGATTGTCCTTCATGCTGAAAGTTTTTCCTTATGGTGATGATATTGCACTAAATGTTATGTTTAATGTGCATCAAGTCTTCAGTACATGTATATGAACTCTCGTGGAAAGAAAATCTAACGCAAAGGGCTTTACGCTGGCTCTCTTTAAAGTAACTTTCAATGCAACAGATTTTCTAATTCACCTTATGCATTCTCCCAGATTCAATTGCTAAAAAATCAAGTTCAAGAAAAGGACAAAATTATAGAGCATTTGGAGGTAAAGCGACGTTGTTATTTTATGTTTAATATATTTTACATATCATATACTCTCTATCTCCGCACAGACATCACTCTCTTGCTGAACACTCGGTTCAGGATTTCGTTTGCCACTTTCACTCCATGGAAGTAACCAGAAAGAAGTGTGACGAGAAGAAAAAAAAAGTCAACTTTGGGATATTGGTTGATTTAACAACAAATTCTCTGAGTTGAAATTACAAGAAATATATGACAGACAGTGGGGAGATAATATCTTTACATGTAGATCTTGGGTGTGATAGGGTTAAATAGTGCCTTTGTAGAATCACCACAAACTACCAGAATGGGTTGTTTTTGGTCGAGACTTGCTATCTTTGCAGAAGGAGGCCACTAGATTCATTGTCTTTCAACTTTGTTTCTTTTAGCGAGATCACGAGAAGATGAAAATCACGAGAGAAAGAGAAGAGAAACTTATAGTCAGCGCTTGGTATGAAATGGTAAGCACAATCTGTTACTCTACCGATAGTGAAAGTCTGTACTCGAGCCAAGTGACCCATCCAACCGGACCTGATCCCGGTTTCCATAGTACGAAGCGACTAGGAGCACCACAAACACCCCCTGCCCCGCCCCCCTGGATAGGATGCCAGTCCATTGCAAGGTTACCTCAGCATTTTATCAGGCTTTCCTGAGATTTCGCTAGTACCTATGTAAACTCATAGGCGGGGAGAGGCACTGTGGTAGTTAACCCTTTAACTCCCAAGAGTGACCAAGACAGAATTTCTCCTTACAGTATCAATACAATATCAACCAGATAAGCGATGAGACTAAAGAAAAATATCAATTATAATTGATCCAATACTAAATTCTCTGAACTAACATTAAAAGAATTGTATGGTAGATAGTAAGGAGAATTTAAAATTTTATCTGGAAGTTAAAGGGTTAAGTGTTTTGCTGAATCGATAGCGAGTGCCAAGAAATTGAGAATACAGCTTAGTAGATTTTCTTTGCCTAAGAAGACAACTAAGGGCACTTATTTGGCGCAAATACCTCGTACCTCTGAAAGCTTACCTTGTGTAAAGTATTTTCGGGAAATTAAAGAAAACTTAAGACCGAACCGCATAAGGCTACCAATCACTGGGAAATTACGCCCAGCCTTGTCGCAGCGATAATTTTCCCAGTGTAACTTGGAGAACTCTCGAGAAAATATTTGTCTTAGCGACAGAGGTTTGTCGTTGTGACCAGTTGCACAGAAATTCGAGTTGGTCTGAATCCGTGCGACTGACTTCAGTGACAAAACCCTGTCGCAAACGCAACGATTTCGCCAAAAAAGTTCTCCTTGTCGCCCAAGGCGAACTGTCATTGGGACTTTTTATAGAACGGTACGCACAGAGCTGTTTGTTACTGACACTTATCGCTGCCTCTTGTCTCAAAATGTTTCCTTTCCTCAGGGCATGCAACTCCATAGAAAAGCTGCGGAGGAAAGGTTGTCAGGGAACGCAGGGGGAATGTCTTTCTTAGCTCGACAAAGACAAGCTTCTAGTCGCCGCTCAACGCCAAATAGAACGCAACAGGCCAACGCTGTCTCATCTAGGTAAGAATATGGGATAGAAAATGTTGTTGTTTATCACTCTATGGCGTTATGGTCTATGGTCTAGCCAAGGTTGGTTGGTTGGTCTGTTGAGGAGAAAGGATGGTTGCCCTGTTTCGAGAGACGATCGTGTATTTGTCAGGTATAACGAAACTTTTGGAGCAATGTCAGCATCTGAGCAACTGCGCACCTACCTACCCCTCCCTAACCTAATATTAACCCCCACTTGTTATCAGTTGACTGTTGTTGGGTTAAGGGAGGGGTAGGTGCGCAGTTGCCCAGATCTATGTCTGTTTATCAATTACTACTATTTAAACACCATGTTTTTGTAATTCTTGGAGCAATTTGGGTTTAACTTATGTGATGTATACTTGTAAGTACAATGTACCAGTCTGTTCTATTAACTTGATCACCATCTTCACTATTTTAAAATTCTTACAGGTATTTTTCTTTATCATCGTGTTTGTGGTATATACAAACAAGGAAAAAAGAAACAATTCTGTGCTAACCCTTTTTGCTGTTGTATTGCAGGGATACGTAGCATCTGCCTGATAAATGGAATTCATCGCCGTTCCTTTCCCCCTTTATAATATTTAACAATGAGGAACTAGCGTTCAATTATGAAGCACACCGTAAAGGTTCGTTATCTTAAGAACTGCGGCCAAGAGCAGATCGAAAAGTCTGGCAAACGCATGTTTTGCCCGATCAGTGGCAGTGAAACCTTTAATTGCTAATAAGTTATTGTCTCTGTTTTCCTTAAATCTCCTCTGATTAACGCTATTTTGGAAACGAGGGGTACAAAGCGTAGACAAAATTTTTAACCCTTTATTTAGATAAATTTATTGCTTTGATTTGCTTTTGTGTGCTTTTGTTAAACTTGAGATAAATATTTCCTTCGGGGTACAGAATTAGAGGTGATGGTGAAAAATCGAATGGTGTATTTACTCTAACCTTCGTTTATGACATCAGTTATGGGAAGAGTTTGTTTTGAGAGGAACAAATATGTAGCAGTGGAAAATAATGGCAGCTATACGATATTTAGTACACGGCATTGTATTATAGTCAGTGTTGTATGTTGTTTTTTTTTTCACGACAAGAAAGTTTTATCAGCTTATTCCTTGAAAATTCAAAAAACCGAATTGGGATTTATGTGTGGAAAGGACTTTCGCGCGGCGCTGACTTAGCGCCGCGTTAAAAAAGACTACTGTAGCTGGAATTTGGTAATTTAATTTGATTGGTGTTTTTAGGAATGTAATCAAACTTGACTTTGAATAAGAATAACAAGTCAAAACCCATCGGTGTTAGAACTTGAAAAAGTTCTAGCAGATAGTATTGGTAGATCCAATTTGAAAAACATGCGAAGAAGTTTTGTGACATAATTTGTAAAGTCGATAATTATCACAATATAAATTATTATGCGTTCTTTCCCTTGAACCGCCGTTTTCGTTCCCTAACACAGGGAAAAACAAGATTAAACCGATCTATAAAAATATTACGCTGTACATGAAAATGTTCCTTGCAACTCGATTTCAATTGACAGGAGTGCACTTGGATGTCTCCCGTTTTTTTTGTTTTTTTTTTAATGTTTTCAGAATCTATTGATCTTTCACATAAGGATAATGATTTGTATTAGCCAACTTTCATTAAACCATAAACGTGGACGTCACGTCGACAGATTTTTTTTTCTAAATCAGCGATCTGGTAAATGCCACTTTCCTTTTCGAAGTTTAAACACAACAGAATATACAATTGAAACCAGTCTTTGTGGTTTATCCTATTGTCTTCAGTGAATCAAAGGGTGAAGCATTTTCCGTTTTTTTTTTTGTTTTTTTTTTTGTAAAAAAAGTAAAAAGTAAAAGTTAGGTAAATTTTTGGTCGCGAGATGGAATACTTCTGTTAAATCGACCGGAAGATTTATGTTATTCATCAAGAGAGGGGCTTTTCTTTGGGAAATGTTTGGTGGAAGTGAGTTTGGAGAGGTAAAACATACCAAATCGTTTCCACTTAAACCGGAATATTTTGTTGTATTTATTTGTAGTAATAATCGGGGTGAGCCTCTCTTTGTTTTTCAACAGCTATGTGTCTTATTTTGTCAAAGAAAGGAACTGTCTTAAAAAGGTATTAACGAATGTACGAAGCATTCAATTCCTTGTTTAATGAGTGTAACTAGGAAGTCTTCGAATGTGTCTAAACTGGTTCTATACTAACAAGGCGTAGAAAGATTGTACGACATTATTTTTGTAAATGAGTCAAATATCCCCATAATAATAAAGAAATGAAAATGTAATACCCACCATATTATTTCTTTTAATTTTGGTGGTTCTCAACCGACGCATCTGTGTGACGTGTTCAGTTCTGTCCTTACTTTAATACGTTAACTATTTGATCCTCAAGAGTGATTTGAATCTAATTTCTCCTTACAATATCCCCCCTGATTCAAACATAAAGGTCCTGAGAGTAAAGGTATGATCAGCAGCGAAAAATTTCTTGATTGTTAAACAACTTCTCCTTGTCGGCACCAAAGGAAATGTTTAGAGAACAGTGTAGAGAATATGCATACTGATGTCAGGATGTAAAGGGTTAAGAGCAATTCACCGCTGAAACCCATTTATGTCGGTTTTAAGAACTATTCGCAATCCACTATAATCTTTCCAATCCTCGACGTTACTTATTTGGTTATTCCTTCTCTTTGATATTTTCCACTTTAGTAAACGTTATTTTCAAGGTTCATTTTCTTTGAAAGATAGCTCTCAATGCTGGTCCTTTAAAACGAATTCCCTTAATAGTGTCTAACTCGAAAGGTATCGGAAGGAATGTAGTTAGCTTTACGCTCACCCGGTTAAAATTACGGTGCGGGGAGAATACTCTTCCACTAGATGATGCAACAGCCAGCGCCTCACCTCCCAGAATCCATTGGATGCCGGGATATTTTTTGCTTCGTTTTCTATGATTCGTGCCACGGCTTACGCTAAAAAAGGGAATGACGGGATGAATCGTTTCTTCTCTCTTCCACTTTTCAATTGGTCTGGAAACTGAGTCGTACTCACTTTCTCAACCAATCAAGTCCAAAACTAAAACCTCTCCTGATTCGCTTTTCCTCGCGCTGTTAGAAGCCGTTTACTTTCGTTTAATCTGTTCAGAGCTACTCTCGGTGAGATATATCAATTTTTTATTTAACGTCCTTCTGTGACGATCGTTTGCGGAACCCATTCGAAAAACGCTTTACTTAGAATTTTCAAAGAAAAGAGAAAGCCGATTTTCCAGTTGAAGCTGGCAAAATCAAATGCTACTTCATTCCATGTGAACTGAGTTTGAGTAAGCTGGGTCTTGCAGAACTAAAACGTGTTCATGAAAACAAAGAAGATACTGGTAATCTCCCTATTTGCTATGCTCTCGGAGGATTATTCTTTTGTTACAGGAAATGAAATCCAAATAACCATATAATATCCTATTAAATACACACAAACATCTCGGCAAAAGTAAATTTTCAAAAACCAAATACATAGACACGATTAAAAATCAGAATTTTGTGTAATTTTATATTAGCTATTGTCCACAGATTGGATCCTCTGAGGAGATTATTTGATTAAATTTTACTTATTCATTTTCTCATTATTGGGTTAATAACGGGGTTGTCTAATCTGACTGAAATGGGACAATATATCGCATTCTAATCGTCAACAAATAAAAGAGTTAGTTATAAAGGACCCTGTGTTAGCGCTTGTTCAGCTGCATAAGGACTAACCTCATACAATTTAACTGCCCTGTTCGCAACAGGTAAGTCTTATAAGGAACACAAACGCAGTTTTCATTCGCTCGCTTACAAAAAGCAACTCTGGTCCAAAGAACTTCTGGTACGTAAAGAGCGCTTCCGTAAATCCGGTAAAATATTTCGTCTTTTTTCCCTTCTTTTTTTCACGTTTCATACCATTTACTTTCCATGAGATTATTCCCATGTAAAAAACCTGAACAAAGAGGACTTAACGATAAACACTGTTTTCCCTTGCATAGTCAAAGAGGTTAGACCATATACGATTCTCTAACTATTCAATTTATCGTATGTAGAATGTACGACTAGATTATATCACATTTTATTAGAGGCTTACTCCAAGAGTAGCTCGCCTTTGATACTTGCTTAACCCGAAGGAGTTGAGTCTCAGTGCCGCTAGTGTTTGTCTCCGTTTTCTTTCGCATACAAAAATCAAGGGTATCGTTCTCCCCCTGGATGGATATTATTCCACCACAGCTTATCTTTAGGGTTTCGTCAGATTTCCCCGACAATTCACCACTTATATCCACGTATACCCCTGACTGGAGAGGCAATGTGATGGCCTTTGAGCACGGTTAGACAAGGACCCGGCTGATCTTAAGAATGGCCAAAACCAACTTGCAGACTTCCTGAAACAAGTAAACTAACTTAAGCAATGGCACAACAACGTATGTTTCACACTATCAGCGTAAAATTCAATATTTCCGTGTTTTGATCATTAATTCAAGTTTTGAACCGAGTAAACCTTTTATGTGAATTCAAAATATAGGTCGGGTGTTTTTATCGCTATCAATTTCCACTTTCAATAATACTCAGCCTATGTAATAAAAATGAGCTAAGAAAAAGGGGCTTCCTTTGATCAGAGTGATCAATTTTTAATTTTTACCTTTTTCTTACCAATTTTTTTCATATTCAAACTATTTTGGAAAAAATTCAAAATCACAGTGTTCAGTACATTACAGAAATTTCATCTTGGAGAATGGTTTTAGTTTTCGTCCTGCATTAATTGCAGGAGAACAATTGAAACGCATATAAAACTTTCCATATATACGTAGCCATGTTAAATAGTCCTGCTTTTTTCAAGTCATGATATTGACGGATCAAGTAAGGTTTTTTCCATCTAATCGGCATGTTGCTTTATTTTACAAAATTATACTTTATTGACATAAGAGATAATTGAAAACCTAAAATAAACATTGTGTTAAGTAAACTTGTCAGACTTAACCAAACATTGCACATGTCTTAAAACATCACATGACAAATAATTGGTTTTGTGTTCTTGGTCAAATTGAAAATCGTAGTAAATAAGAAGGAGAGGTAATGTCTTCTTCATTGCAGCCTGGCATGAGTTCTTATTGCAGATTTCCCCTTAAAAATAAGAAAAAAATAAAACTCGGCTTAATTTGACCGAAAATGAAGAATGGTCCTCGGCATTTCTTCGCAAAACTATTTTTTATCAGAAGTATTTTTTTATGTCTTGCTTGATTATTACATCGACTCTCTTTCCTCTCAAACAGACAAATATTTCCCTCAACATGAGAACTTTATTGTTCATCTGTGGAATTCTTCTTTTTGCCAGTTTTACGAAAAGTAAGTATCGACAACTCTAGTGGAGAAATATGTTTAAGTGTTCCACTTTTAAGGTGGCTATGTAACAACAAGATAGAACATTTCCGACGTTGCAGAAACCTAGAGCTTGGAAATTCATTTTTTATCAAGGGTTTACCAATACCCTTTTTACAAACACAGAGGCAAGCGTTAAACTTTATTCATGACAGTCTTTAATCTGTTGTATTCTAAAGATTCCCCGTCATTGGTAAACAATTTTCTACAGTACCCCCAATATATTCTCTTATTGCGGACAACTAATCTCCCCTCTGTTCCCCCCTGAATACCATTTGATCCTCCAAAATCCCATGGCCTCCCCAACCAGGTGGCAAATTATCACTAGTCCCTAATATTTTTTAAAACTTGTAGGCTCAGTTGGAAACCCAGTGCCAAGTGAAGGTAAGTTGTTTGAGTAAGTTTATGTCTGGTGTGACTTTGGTACATTTTCTGCAGCAAATGCGTTCATAAAATTTAAGAGTTGTTTTTTTTTTCTCTTTACATTTATGTTTTAGCGGAGGCTGGCGCTTGTAGCGTGGAAAACAAAGAATGGCAAATTGGATGTGACCATTGTTATTGCCGAAACCAATCAGTGTTTTGTGAAACAGACCCAGGCTGCCAGGAAAAAAAATAATGATGATAAGTACGAATTTATCTGGTAACTAGTATTTGCATGATCCTTCAAGGCTTGTGTGTGATTCTATACTTCCTCTGGTTAACTTGAAGTTTAGTTCCCAAGCGTTCACTCTCGCCTAATTTTCCGCGCAAAGCCTGGGAATTAGCGAGGGAGTGGCTTTCGATGGCGTCACGAGTCCAAGTTTGACCAACCTGAGAACGTGATAGAATTTTGTTGGATATATGTAGTTTTATCTAGTAAGAAATTGTAATGTTTGTCCCGCGCTCGATAAAGTTGATATGCAATTGAAGTGCTTTAAAAACCTTGATGTAATCGTTATTTACTTCTTATGAAATCTTCAACTTTATCGCCACTAGATATGAAATAAATATACTAGTTGTGGTACGATTTGAATTAGCTTCTCTTCTAATGTGTCTAACAATCCAGCATCCCTATAAACTCGGTGATTAAGTAAAAGGTTCTGGGTACAAGACTAGGATTATACAAGTCCAAGAAGTCCAAGCGATGCCAATCTTCAATCAAACCCTTTGAACCTCGTTCTCAATCGTATTGTCCAAGAGAGGACCATGGCTATGAGTTTGATAAACTTAAAACATGAACCTTTGTATGTAACTTTCCAATAATGTTATCATATCTTACAGATTTTATATATTCTCTCCTTAGGCATTTGAATTTTCGTGGGGGCTTTATCTTTAAAAGGAGCAAGACATCATCCCCACCCTTTGGTTGGAGATCGAGAGTTCTATAAGTATATGAGATGGAAAATAAAGTAGAAACAGAAAAATGAGTAGACATGGTGTGATTTATTTTCATTCGATAAGCCTTTGGCTACTGAAGCTCATCCGCAGAAAAGGTTGCACGTAAACCGGGGGTCTTAAAACATAGTATGAAAAAATTTTCAAAAAACTAGCACTTTGACAGTATTAAAACAATCCAAATTTCCCAAAGGGGAATATTTCAAAATAGTTGGAACTGGAGTTTTAGCTAGCTGCCGTTTCGTCACACCAACTCAAACAAAAACGACACCATGAGATTATTATATATAATCTATAATATATGATCACATAACGAACGATCCGACCCAGGTGATCCGTGACTCGACCCAAACTTCTTCGTTACGCTCCGCAGCTATTGTCGCTCCGTATATAGACTTCGCTCCGTTATATCAAATGAATGACTGGAACAGGCTAATGGACAAAGGGGGAAGGGAAAGATGGGTATTTTAAGATAATTTGGTTTATCACCTAAGTTGATAAAGTAATTTGGCCACCTTAAAGAGTTTCTAAAGTTGACGTTGCGAGCATTCGCCCTTTGTCATTAAAGGCTATGCACTGAGAGGTTCGAAGGTTGTCAAGTGTCCCGTACGCTGAAGAGATGTCGAAAGTGCCCTTCCGTGCCGACAAGTTCAATTTGAGGGTTGTTCAGTATTTGATCGAGAGTGAGGAAAAGAAGATATAGACAATCTATGACGTGTTTTTCTTCGCTTTGTGTGGTTCCTTTCATTCAAATGTTTCTCATATATTATATTAGCTAATCAGGATTCATACTCGGCTGTAAGTCACCCTGTACCTCCCTATCAGTTTTCTAGGACTCCGTAATAGAACGGACAGCAAGTGGAGCGAGTTTTAATGCCTGCAAGTCGCCTCACTATCCATCTCATTTCCAGAGTGAAAAAGTGTGAAGTGTTGTAAGATCTAAATTCCACAAGTCCATAGGTCCATGGGTTCATTCTCACTTTACAGTAGATTCCAGGCTTCTCTCGTCCAAGTACATTCCCACTTCGATAGTCGATCGGGAAGTTCAGTCAATTGACCGTGGAAAGTAAGGCCATTAATTGCCGGTTAATCATCTCAGAGATCAGATCATCAACAGACTAAACATGAAAATACTTGAAACTGTGGTAAGCTCTTGTCCTGTTGTCGTATTGCGTGAAGTAGGCATTCTTAGGTAATGTAAGTGAGTTTGTTAAAACAGCATGCTTGCTGACGAATGTGGAATTTTTCATCTGCTCTTCTCGAGTGTTTGTTTGTCTGCCGCGTATAAATTTTAGAATACCGGTTTATTCGCCAATTTCATTACCTTCAGATGATATTTGCTAATACCTTAATTGAAATCTGTTGTTAGTTTGTAAGATTACAAAATCGTCGTGTAACCATCAGTTTTGTCGCCCAGTCGATCTTGTACTTCGTCAACATAAATTAAAATCACATGAGGCTTCTAGAAGCCTCATGCGATCTGTTATATAATCAAGGGAGACGAGAGATCCGAAGCCAAATGGTGTTAAAACCTGCAAAGGCCTGCCTTAAATTCGTACAGCTCAGCATTTATTTTCGTCCATACCACGGTTTTCTAATTTTGATCAGCTTTTATATTCAGCTGGGAATTAATTGATTGATCATTCACGAGATAATGGTGTTCTACGTTGCGTGAGAAAGCTTTTTATCGTCTTTCTAGAAAACGACACAAAAGGAACAGAAATAGAAAACTTTACATAAATATAACAAAATACCAGCGTATATAATGGACTTGGCCTGAAGGCTAATCCATATCAGAGCACCCCTGAGAATGAATTTTCAAACTGATTGTAATTTACAATTCAAATTAAATTTTGTATGGCCTCTTGTAACCAGCCAGTGTTTCCTACAAAGAAGATCATGGGGTTGACGCCTATAGCTTGATGTCAGAATAGATATTTTTCCAAGAATCCTTGTTCTGTGGACTTAAAAAAAAAAAACTTCTCCTTTCACTTTCACCACCGAATGAGCCTCCAATTAACCATTTTCATCTCAATTTATTTGTGCAAAAGTTTCACACTGTTATTCAAATATTGGCATTTTAAAGAATGTTTGTCACCTTAACCTGATGTACTTGCACACCTGCTTCCAAGTCTCCTGAAGTGCTGTGGTGGAGCATTAGAAGCTCTGATCAGGAAGGCTTACAAAAAGGGAGAACTGCTTGACACAAAAAAAAATGAATTTCTTGTAGTTTTAGTCTTAAAAATAAAGTGTCTTAACCCTTTCACTCCCAAGATCTAATTAGTAATTCTCCTTACTATCTGCCATACAATTCATATGATTTTAGTGCAGAGAATTTGGTATTGGATCAACTAATAATCCCATTGTTAATATTCTTCTCTATTCCCATCACCTGCCTGCTTGATATTGTATTGATAATGTAAGGAGAAATTCAGTCTTGGTCACTTGTGGGAGTGATAGGGTTAACTACTTTTGTTACTTATTGTCAGTAGATCTACAGTTGTCAACGGCCATCAAAATGTTTTATACTTTCTTGTCACACAGAACAAATATTTTACAGTTTTCCTTTTGCTAATTAAGGATAGCTTTGAGTAACTTTTTTTCTTATTTCTTGTTCCATTTTATTGTTGTGGTGTATTAGTTTATGTGAATGGTTCAGCCTAACCCAAGCCCTAACCCTAAGCAATTTATAAAAAAATATTAATGTGATCCACAATAATTTTCTTAATGTGGATTCTTTAATGTTACTCTCTGTAGTGTTGATATTTCTAATTGTTTTTTTGTGTGGATTGGCAACAGTGTTCTGTCCAAACACATTTTCAGGGGTATTTTGCATGAAATATTTGTGGAAAAACTTAGTTTTGTTATATTCAGTCAAGCAGGTGAATATTATTGTCAAACCTTAATTATTCAAACCTGGGGGATTGGGATGAATTGTTGGTATAATCAAGAATCCAGATAATCAAGAGTAAGAAAATCATCCAAGGGATAAGATCATCAACAGACTAAACATGAAAATACTTGAAACTGTGGTAAGCTCTTTTCTTGTTATCGTATTGTGTGGAGTAGGTATTCTCAGGTAATGCAAGTGAGTTTGATAAAAATAATGGCATGCTTGCTGATGAATATGGAATTTTTCAGCCGCTCTTCCCGAGTGTTTGTTTGTTTATCTGCCAATTTCAGTACCTGTAGATAATACTTGCAAATACCTAAATTAGAATCTATCATCAGTTTGAAAGATTTCAAGATCACTGTATATCCATGTTAGTGCCTAGTAGACCTTCAACTTGGTCAACATGAAGTAAAATCACACGAGGCTACAAGAATCTATGATCTGTTACGTGGTTGGATAGAGATGAGAAATTCCAAGCCAAATAGTTTTAAAATCTGCAAAGGCCTGTCTTAAATTTGTGCAGCCCTGTATTTATTTTCATCTTTACCACAGTTTGCCAATTTTGATCAACTTCTATATTTAGCTAGGAATTAATTTATGAGAGATGATGGTTGTTCTACGTTGCACGAGAAAGCTTTTTATTGCCTTTCTAGAAAATAAAACAAAAGGAACAGAAATAGAAAACATTACATAAGTATAACAAAACATCAGAATCCCTATTGGACTTGGGCTGAGGGCTGATCCATAATTCTTTGGTGTCACTCTCTCAAGAATTGTTACTGCTAGCTGTTTTCTTTTGTGGATTGGCAACAGTGCTCTGCCCAACACACATTTTCAGGGGTATTTTGCATGAAATATTTGCAGGAAAACTTAGTTTTGTAATATTCAGTCAAGCAGGATAATGTTATTGTCAAACCTTAATTATTCAAACCTGGGGGATTGGGAGGAATTGTTGTTATAATCAAGAATCCAGATCATCGAGAGTAAGAAATTATCTCAAGGATAAGATCATTGACAGACTAGACATGAAAATACTTGAAACTGTGGTAAGCTCTTTTCTTGTTGTTGTATTGTATGGAGTAGGCATCCTTAGGTAATGCAAGTGAGTTTGATAAAATGGCATGCTTGGTGGCGAATATAGAATTTTTCAGCTGCTCTTCATGAGTGTTTGTGTGTCGCGTAATATTTAAGAATACTGGTTTATCTGCCAATTTCATTACCTGTAGATAATACTTGCTAATACCTAAATTAGAATCTATCATAAGTTTATGAGATTTCAAGGTTACTGTATAACCATGTTAGTGCCTAGTAGACCTTCAACTTCGTCAACATAAAGTAAAATCACACAGGGCGACTAGAATCTATGATCTGTTACATAAGTAGACGGAGACGAGAAATTCCAAGCCAAATAGTATTAAAATCTGCAAAGGCCTGCCTTAAATTTGTGCAGCCCTGTATTTATTCTTGTCTATACCACAGTTTGCCAATTTTGATCAACTTCTATATTTAGCTGGGAATTAATTTATTATAATGATGAATGTTCTATGTTGCATGAGAAAGCTTTTTATTGCCTTTCTAGAAAATGAAACAAAAGGAACAGAAATAGAAAACATTACATAAGTATAACAAAACATCAGAATCCCTAGTGGATAATCCTTAAAATCCAGATAATCAAGGTTGAGCTGTACTGTGAAACTTAGAAAACCATGAACATAGATATATTTAAAGAATGTTTTTGCATTTTAGCTCATATCTTGACATCAGTATGCTTATTCTCTATACCTATACATATTGTAAGATGCTGATGCGAAGAATTATTATTTAACAGTCAGGAGGTTCTTTAGTTGGTGATCATTTCCTTAATTCTTTAGACTTTAATATGTGATTGAGTTAAATGCACTGATGCAACCACAGAATGAGGTAAAGAAGCTTACTCTTATAACTGTTATACCCTGCCCTTCTCTGTGGTTTTTAATTGAGAAAATAGTCAGAGACTTTTGCAGAGTTTAATTTTTGTGGGAATTTTTTTCTTGGAGAACATGTTTTAATGGCTTTGGAACTACTAGAAAATTGAGACCCTGTTAAGTTTTCATGCATCATAGTAGGCTCTGAAACTAAATTATCAAGTAGTTGTTTTTGTACATAATTATGGTTGAATGAAATATATTTTTTCACCACAGGAAGAATTTGATCAATTCCTCAAAGATGCTGGTTCAAAACTGGTTGTCATAGACTTCTTTGCAGATTGGTGTGGACCATGCAAGATGATCGCCCCAAAATTTTTGGTAACATGGATAATTTTTCAACAGGATCAGTTAACTCTAAGATCTGATTGACAATTCTCCCTTCAAGCTGCTACACATTTCCTTTTAAACTAGTTATGAGTATTTGATGTCAGATCAAGATAACAAATTCTACCTGACAAGTTTGATTATTCTTGTTACTTTTTGCTGGATAATGTATGAATATAAAAGGGAGAAGTTACATGCAAATCACTTCTGGGAGTTGAAGGGTTAAATATATAAATGTTAAGTTAAATTTAACTTTCTAAGTTTAGTAACAACCTACTACAATTATCTGTCTCTTTTGTGATGGAAGTAACCCAAAAGGTTTCAAATGCATACCTCTAATGGAGCTCTTGGGTGACTACAATTTTTACCCCATGGAACAAACACTGTGATTGTTGTGGATCCTTGTCTGGTTTTTCAGATGATTCAGAGAACACTTTCACAACGTGGAATGAAATGACAAGAATGCATCCAAACCAATCGCTAGACACTTTCATCTCCTTAATCATTCTAAACAACATATGGCAGTTTACAGCCTCTCCTTACATCTAGGCAGTTCAGAAAGTCGCAAAACACTAGAACAAAAATTTATCTTCCAAATTGGCACTCTTAATCCCCATGGTATCAACAAGCGCTTTTCATTCAACTAATTTATTCTCATTTTCTCATACTCCCACCAATAGCGTAGCTCCACTTGCCACATATAAACCCACACACAACCCACAATTCCTCCAATTGCTCTGACAAAGGGCTAATGCCCAAAATGTCAGCTTTTTTACTCTTTACGATGGCCAATTTATGTTTTCAACTCAGTTGTTAACACTAAATTACCTGGTTTTTCAAAGGATTCCTTTGTTGCTGAATACACAAAGTGTATTTGAAAGCAAATTTTAGCAGCTGGAGTTTTGATGGAGATGTTTGAATTAAGCTTAATAGGTACAATATTATTTCAATTAAATGCCACCCTTAGTTAAATGTCACAGATGGAAGCAAAGATACCAAATTGAATGATGAATGCCATCCTTGGAGAAACACAGCACCTGATCAGAAGAATGCAGCATTTAATATGTAACACTTCTACTTCCAATTGTGACCTGGACATGGTTTCTGTTTCAATTATCAATACGATATCAAGCAGAAAAGTGATGAGAATGATGAAAAACCTCAAATAAGGGGATTATCATCTGATCCAGTACTAAATTCTCAGAACTAAAATTAAAGTCAATGTATTGCTGGCAGTAAAAAGAGTCACTAAAGAGATCTTGGAAGTGAAAGGTTTAATGTTTATCAGATACTGTAATAAACTAATGAAAACAGCAATGTGTAGCATCTAGAGGAGAGAATTAACAATCATATCTTGGGAGTTAAATGGTCATGTTGGAGACTGGGTTAAAATTATTTCAATGATTAAAGGTTGATTTTCTTGTTAAACTCCATTAATTATATCAATAGATGTAATTCTTTTTAGAAAATGGCTGATGATTTCAAGGCAGAAGTGGAGTTTGCAAAGGTGAATGTGGATGAAAATACGGTAAGTTGGCTTTGCTTGAGCATTGATTCAGCTCTGAAAGCTTACCTATGAAATGTTATGATCATAATTTACAGATGTCCCGTAGTTGAAGCATCTGACTGCAAAATGAGCTGCAGTAATGCTGCAAGTGAATTGAATAAAGGAATACAGTAGTGTAAACTGCTGCATATAACTCCAGGGCTTATACAACTGCGTAAGGGGTTTAGAAGGGCTTTTTTATAATCCTTTGTCCCCTATGAATGATCAGCATTTATCTTCTCCTTACAGTATCACCCCTGAATCATATGTTAAGGTCATAACAATAAAGGAAATGGTCCCCAACTAAAGAAGCTCTTGATTGTTAGAAAAATTCTCCTAGTCAGCTCTCAAGGAAATGCATAGAGAACAGTATTGACAAAACACATGCTAATGTGAGGGTGTAAAGGGTTTGACAGAGGGGCTTATATCGAGAACAGAAAAAGCGCTTCAAAACAAGTTATAGCAGAGCTGATCAAGATATGTGATGCTTTAAGATGTCACAAAAATTGAATTTATTTCAATAAATTTGGAACAGAATTAAACCTGGCAACACTAATAAAACTGGCATGTAGCAAAACAGAAGTTCAGACTTTTTCCTTAAAGTTCATGTTTGCTCAGATTCAACTGATTCACCAAGGGGTTCTTATCTCTTAAAACAAGAAGAGGTGGACAGGGGCTCATATCTGGGGGGGGGGGGGGGGGGGGGGGGTATCAAAGGTATTTTCTTTTGTTTTACGGGTAGATGGGCTTACATGTATAACTAGTATGGCTTAGTAATAGGGATGTTTATAGCTGATGTTTACAACATGCACATGGAGCAATTTTCTGAGTTTGACAATTATACATTTGTGTTGTATATCTGAATACAGGAAACTGCTGAAAAAGAGGAGATTTCAGCTATGCCAACTTTTAAGTTTTACAAAAATGGTGCTAAGGTGAGTCACTTTCCTTATTACAAGTATTATTGCTCAGAAATGATCATTATTAGTATTTGCAAGTGTTAACTTTTTTAATTTTCTGCTTGAGCATGGAACAGAAGGATTTCAACCTCAGACTTTCTGTACCAATTAAATAGCTACCGCAGTTTCTGTGATGTAAATATTGACATCCAAGCTCTGTTGACTTGTTCTTTTTTTTCCTTTTTTTTTTATTTCTTTTTGTAGATAGATGAAGTCACTGGAGCAAGAGAGGATCAAATTCTTGAAAAAATCAAGATTTATAAATGATGACTTTGGATTTCAAAGGGGAACAAGTTCTTCACACTGTTGATTTTTCTTTCAAGATTATTGATTGTAACAAACATGCATTAGAAATACTGTACTTCAATAAAAGTGATAGACATGTATGAATATTGTGTGATCTGCAATTATTATATACTCTGTGTCTGAGAGAATTGTTTTTTTACTTATTTGTTGGGAAATGTTACTGTTGTTTGTTCCTATTTACACCTGTCACTTGCACAATGTTTGGCAATTTTTGGCAATTTTTTTTTATTGTGAGTTTACATAATTTAAGGCTCTTTAAAAAGTATTTGCCAACGTTTTTTCTGCATTTCAATTAGTTGTCTGTTTACTTGATGGTTTGTTTGATGTCTTTTTTTCAGAGATTTTCATCATCTACTACTCCAAGGTTTTCCTTGGAATTACAGACTTGTCCTCAGTAACAATTGACAGGTGTTGGGTAGGGTGGGGGGGGGAGCTGAAGTGAGAAAGGGGCAGCAGCTTGGCTAGAGGTAGAGCTCTGCCAGCATCGTAGCTCTCTTATTGTTTAGGACAATGCGTGATGGGTTTGAAGCATGGAAATTAGTGATACCCCCCAAGATACGTCTTAAAAGTCCAGTCCATTTCAGTATTCATTGCTCAGTGAGCCGGTAAGCAGGAATTGATAGTTTTTCTTTATTACACACAGTATCAATATGAAACAATGATCTTTAGTTTAAACTGTACATGTGCTACTGTCTGTAGTTTCAAGTTAGAAATAATCATGTCAGCAGACTCTATCTTTTAAGCTTCAACTCGGTAAAACTGATTTTCTTTCACACTTTTTTGGTTCAAAAAGAAAGAAGAAAAAATTTTATCTTTAGTCTGCATTAGCAAGATCTGAGCTCAGTTGAGTGTAGCAGTATATGTGTACATTATGAAGGGATAGCTGCTGCAATTGAGAGGCTGGTACCCAGTGAAGCGTTGTAACAATCAGAACAGGCTTTCTGTGCCGGAGGCTGGAAATGCTCGGACGTGCAAAATTCGTTTGTCGCCTCTGAGTTATTCTCCTTCCCTGAATCCTCACTTCTGAGAGATGGAAAGGAGCAGCTCTGGGTGCGAGAACTCCTCTCTTTATACCACTTGAGTAAAAGAAACAAGGTTTCGAGAAACATGAATGCGCTTACTTAACATAATAGACAGAGAGAAAAATGACAACAAGAAACGCGTCTGCAACAGGAAACGCGTTTGCGATCAGAAGCTGCTTTTTCTTTTAAATGAGGTACGTAATTTACTTATCTGCCGCGCTCTAAAATTAAAGGATGTTTGGCCGATCTTGATATTGCCATGGTAAAACTATTGAAATTTTGACTGAATTGTATATCCATTTTCTTGATTGTGCACAGTTTATCTTTTAATGTAATACTTATGACCAGCATTATTTTACTCAAACGCCGAAACAAATGAAAATCGAGGTCAAAATGAGATTAATAATAATTCCAGTCTTTTTGTGTTTTTGTTTTTTTTCTTCGATCTTGTTACTAATGGAGGCCAAGCGGAACTAGGAAAATGAAAAGAAACGTCACAATTAATAGAATTATTAGGGTTCTTCCAAGCGTGAGATCACGTTCCGAATATATTAGTTTGAAAATTTCCTGTTTGGAGTTATCAGTCGACCCATAACCTCCAGTCGAAATTCGACACTCCCGTTAAACTGATTTCCAGCGTGGAAGGGAAAATGAAAGAGTTAACGACTTTGGTAGGTATTATGATAAATTAATTGAAAAGTCGTCAGTTTAGCCTACGGTTGAAGGTGCAGTACATTTATTTTTGGAAAAGCTCTCTCATTTCGTTTCAACATACGTTGATTTGGTCATATTTTGAGGAGACCTGCTGCTCCATTTTAAAGTTCAATAGATTTTATTTTGCTAACCAGGAGAAGGAGAATGTTTAATCTATAATAGAAAGCTTACAATATGCAGCTAAGATGTTGCGATCTTCATGAGGGGTATTGTTTACATCATAAGAAGAGCGATGAATCGTCGTCATATCTGTACTTCATCCCAAGAACTACAACTCTGGGAAATAATTATAGTTCTGGATTTGCGTAGAGAGTGCAAGACAAAATGACTAACGAATTTTGAAACGATTCGAAACAGTGTTTGAAAAAAAAACTCTTGGTTATAATTTCGTTATTTACTCCTGTTTTGGATAAAAAGCTTTTAGTAATATGCTAGTTTTTTAATTGCGTCTGTTTATCTACCTACGTAGGCTGATTATTCAGCAAAAAAAAAAAATTCATGTTTAAAGATGTGCTGTAATTTCAATAAGGGAAAATTCGCTTTTAACAAATATAATCTGTTGATTGATAATCTGTTGTTGCCCGTGAGGCAACTTAACAGCTGTCAAAGTAATATGAGAGCCATCATTAACAATAATTTAGTATTACCCAACAGGTGCAATATTGTTAACTAGAAAATTATTGATAGCCGACAACAAAATGGAACTCAACCAGTTGGGCATAAAGTAAAATATGGACTGGATCACTAGGACTTTTGGACTATTTTTTGGACCAATTTTTGGACCATTTATTGGGAGGAGGTAGACCATTAGTACTAAGGGGGGGGGCGCGATGCGGTCTATCAGTGCTCAGAGAGGGGTGCATGGGAGGCAAACTGTCGTTACTGAGGGAGGGGTGGAAGACGAACTATTAGTACGCAGCGAGGGGTGGGAGGTTGTTGTATTAGTAAATGCTAATGATTAATGGAGTTTTTAATGGATTATTCAAATTATTTTGAGCGGTTTTTCGACTGACTATTTTTAGGTCAAAATTTTTGCGCTGGCTCGTAGCGTTTCTTTATTTTTTTTTGTCACGCGAGTGCGAAACTGGCACCCAAACACTGGACTATAATTGTTATTGAAAATATCGCTAATTTCCGTTTTCGATCCTCCACTGTTGGGTCACGCGTGTACCTTTTAAGTCGACTTGTGCCAGTGCTTAATGATACACGCTGGTTACCATGAATCATCCACTAGTTGCTTCACGTTTTCCTTGGTGAATACAGTATATCATGACCAAAAATAAAGAAACGCTACGAGTCAGCGCAAAAGTTTTGACATAAAAATAGTCAGTCGAAAAACCGCTCAAAATAATTTTAATGATCCATTAAAAACTCTATTGATCAGTGTCATATAAACACTTTTAAAGAAAAACTACGTCATTTCAGATGAGTCAGTCATGTATTTACCCCCTTTTTTTGTAATCAAGGTTTTATCTCTCTTGCTTAACACAGCATATAAAATGTTTTGACTCTCTGCCTCAACCGTAAGCGGAAGACGCCTTGTTTTTCAGTAGCAAAATCTTATTGCCTTTAGTATCACATATTCCAGAAGCAAAGAGTATCTCGGGTTTTAAAGAATGGCATTTTTCTCTTGATCATTTCCATTAGAACATGAAGTTTTAATTTAGCTACAAAATTGTCTGGCTTGTGCGATGAGTTTACTTTTGAGACCTTAAAACTTGCATTAACCCTCAACACCCTAACATCACAATCTATATTCTCCGTACTATTCACTATACATTTCCCAAGGTGCTGACAAGGAGAAGTTGTTTGATAATCAAGAGCTACTTTAGTTGGTGATCATTTCTTCCATTCTCATTACCTTGATGTTTGGTTCAAGAGTGATGTTGTAAGGAGAAATTAGATGCTTGTCACTCTTAGGGGTTAAAGGCTTAAAAGCTTCATTTTGTTTTTGTTTCACACAGAAAGAACTGAATGAGCTTCTTGAAAGTAGCGGAGTCAAGTTGGTCGTAATCGACTTTTTTGCCGATTGGTGTGGTCCTTGCAAGATAATGGGGCCTAAGTTTGAGGTATTCGAATATCGAAAAAATTTCTTTCATAAAAACTTAAAGGGATTAGCGTAGTGTATCTAATGCAAGTAAGCAAACCTCAGTGATACAGTCATAAAGGGTCTGAAAATTTGTGCCAAAGGCTTCTAACAGATTAAGGCTTTTTCCTTATCTTCTATAATTCTGTCACGCACACCGTCCTTTCCGGGACAAGGGTAACTGGGTTACAGAGTTCATGGGGTGCCTGTGACTCCGTACACGTCTTAAAATAAAATATCTCTTGTTAATGACCTGTTATGCTCCCAATCTTCAGTGAGAGCCTGGTAAAGGGTCCTTCCGCCCCCACCCTACCCCCAAACTATTTTTTTTATCTATTGTGCTGTTGATTATCATTTTTTCATAGGAATTGGCCATGAAGTTCCCGGATGTTGTATTCGCCAAAGTAAACATTGAGAGGGGAAAGGTATGCATGAGACGAGAGTTGACAACCAATGAGGTGCACTGTCACTCGCGAACATATGATTTTCCGAATGATGTAATCCTTATTTTTCAGATTCTTGGTCTATATTTTGATATGTCATGAGAGGATTCATTTGCTCGCAGCCATAGCATATTGCATGAGCCTCTTTATCATTGATTGACATATCAATTTTTTCCCCCTTTTATCGTCCGGTGGAAATGTTGCCTTTCCCTTTTTTTGCACAGTTTTTGCGTTCACTGGAGGTCAGTTAAGCATTTATCGGGATTACGAATGAATGCGCAGGAAATGAAGATTCGTAAGAATCCCGTGATCGCTAAGGAAAAGGTGCGATCGTATGCAGTTTAGTAAGAAATGGTCTATGAATGGAAATAGGTATTCCAATTGGGAAACTGAAACGCTTTGCTGAAAATAGCCTGACTTTCACCAATAAATAAAAACCAACTGCAAGCAAACCAGAACAAGTATGACCGGAAATAAATTTGAGGAGTTGGTTCCAGTCTTTCAGCTCCGGTCATAAGTGCTGCGGATAAGTTAGCAGGAGGCCAAAATACCATTAACTTGACAACTTGAATTTGAAATCAATTGTATATTTTTCAGGAGCCAACCAAACATTATAGTATTACCTCTATTCCACATTTCAAGTTTTTCAAGGGAAAAAAGGTAATCAACACAAAATTATTTTATTCAAACTTGCCTTCTTGAATATCATTTGCTATACTGATTTATCCTTACTGATTTCCTTTTTTTACTAATTTTAGGAAGTGGATAACCTCAGAGGCGCTGATGAAACAATTCTTACACAAAAAATTGAAAAATGGCAGTAATCGTGGAGTTGATTTAAAAAGTGAACACATTTTTGATTAGAGAAAATTATTTGTACTGAAAGAATATCCTGCTTGAGATTTATTTGTGATCCAGCTTTTGAATTAATATTGGTCGATGCTTTAGCCTGTACATTTTGAGTCCATCTATTTATTTCATGTAGTTGTAAAGGGTTGATACAGTAAACTAGATCCATCTGCCGAAGAAAAGTTGTTTGATTAGCCTTTGCTGTAACATCATTTTTTTCAATTTTCAGTCTCACCTTAGTTGTCACTTAGATCAAGCTGATGCGATTTTTTCATTTTTAGCATTTAACCCTTAAGGCCCAAGAGTGACTGATATCTTATCTCTCCTTAAAGTATTACCCTTAAATCGATTGTAAAGGTCATGAGAAAAAAGGAAATGATCACCAACTCAAGAAACTCTCACCGCTTATGTCAAAATTTGAAATATCATCGTCACAGGTTTTCGTTAATTTAAACACACGTTACTCTGTTGACAAGTTTAATGACCCTGTGTTTGAATTGAATTGAAGGCAACTGCCTGTCTGTGTAAATACATCATTGAGACGTATATAGAGAGAACAAATCATGAACATTGAAACCCCTGAAAAAGTACACCACACCAGAAATCACCTTTGCTTAGCCTTTTGTATTTTTGTTTATATTCCCTAATGGATCCCGTAATTATTTACAGTTGGTCCGTATGAAGCGACATTGTTTTATCGTCCAATCAAAAGTGGACTGTATGCTGGACACAAAATATAATTGGCGCAGCTTTTCCGGCGTAAGCGTCTCTTTCTTTTTATTCTTTGCAATAAAAATGCACTGTATTTTTTCAACCGGAAAACACCTGGACTTAGATTAACGAAAACAGCAACAAGACAAATTTCAGCGCGGAGCAACCGTTTTCTCAGAGAGAAACCAAGATTTTTGTGAGCCCCAGAAGTTTAAATATTGAGGGATTTCATTTTGCAAGGCATAGAGGTGAGTTCTTTTGAAAAAAAATGGTGTAGGTTCTTGCATTTCCGGCCGGCCTACGTCCGCTGAAGCTAAATGTTGATATTTTTAATATTTCATGTTCATATAATTCAAGATATATTTATTTCGTACGGACTAGTTGCTCTATATAGGTATTAAATAATGACAGTTTGAATTTTCGAAATAATTTAGCCGTTTCTCTTTCAATTCCAAAGCAAAAAGCTTCACGAAATGTGAATTCTTTATGTGATTGAAAAAATGCAAACTGCAGCAGCCAAAGATGAAATTTGAATAAAATTAACTGTAGTAATGCCTCTGACATCTTTAATGATCTTTCCTTCGCGGTAAGTACGGTATATATTTTGCATAAATTTGCTACACATTTTTAAAACAAAATGTCATGCAAACCGAAGCGACGGAGAAGAAAAATTAAACGCAATGTTTCATCGGCATTTTATGGAAAATCTTTCCGAAATTTACCTAGCCCTTTGCTTTTGGTAAATACGTGACTGACTAGTCTAAAATTTAACTCATTTCAACCTGGCGGGGTGCGAAACAAATTCATTTTTAGAAATAAAAGCAGCGCGAGTTTGGTTTTAGTTGAGTCGATCGATCATATCAATGTTATTTCCCTCAAATATATACATACCAGAATTCCTTATCGAGTTAATTTATTAATTTAACTAATACCTAAACGTTGCTCTGTGAATATTATTTTCTAAGGTGCATCATTCTTATTCAGCAATTATTCATTTTTAAAATCATGAATTCCTTACAAAAATAGAAAAAAGAAGAAAATGGCAAGTTAAATGCGTACATTCAACTTTCCTTATTTAAATCTTACTACTCATTCACTAAAGGAAAGGAGACTCGATTGCGATTGGCTCCTAAAACAATGGCTAACCGGTAGTAACGACACCAATTAAATATCAACACAGAAAGTTCCTCAGTGAATATATATAATGGAGAGAAAATTGAACTTGGATTTGAAACTCTTCGGTTGAATCTAAACCAAATTAGTTAACATTTTCGTATCGACTCGCTCTGCACTTGTGATTTCCTCGGTTTTTATTTTTTTTTCTGCTGTTGTCGCTCGAGCTTACTTTATTTCGGCTCTTCGTTATTGAATGTAAACCTCTATAATTATTTCCTTCGTGTACACCTGCCTGTAATTTCCCCTACTCTTTCACATTAATGTCCATTTGTTTTTGGTCGTTTCCGATCATTCGTTAACGTTCTTGTTATAAATCAAACGCGAATCGCCAGTCGTTCGTTTTAAGATCGGTTATTGGTGTTCTACTTTCCTTTTCATTCGTAACTCTACTCTGTTATGCTGTTTACTGAAATGCAGTTCAATTATCAAGTTCATCACGTTACGATACGCTTAAAACATATTTTTTCGGTTTTCAAAAAAATCCTTGCGAGTTTCTTTTTTATATTTCCATCATCGTCTTTCTTGGTGACAATTTATTGATTCTGTATGGA